CTGAGTCCTAGATCTGGTTAATTCCATGTTCTGGTCTTCAAGCTCTGAAATTCTTTCTTCAGCTAGATTAATTCTGGTTTCCATGCTTGTCATCTTTATTTATTTCCTAGATGAAATGGTTTATTGCCAAAATCTCTGTTACAATTTCTTTCAGTGTTGCATCTAATCTTTCTTGAGTCACTCACTTTTTCCATCCACTCCTTAATCTCTGTCATATTCTGGAACCAGTCATTAGTGACTTCCATAGTTTGGGCTGTAAGTTCTGATTTTTCAGGAGTTTCCTCTTTGTTACACTTGAAATTACCAGTGATCTTCCTTTGGTTTTTCCTCATTTGTGACAGATCTCTTGTTTTTCTTTTTAGTTCTGAAAAGAAAAACAGATCTCTTGTTTTCTCTTTAGTTCTGTTATTCTGTGTCAGCTGGAGAGGCTTTCCCTTCTGATGTTTGCCTAGTCCTCTATTCTTCCCTGATCCAGGCTCTGGATTTGTTCTATTTTGAAATAGTACTGTGGGTGGGAATAGGACTGTGGATACGAATAGGACTGTGGGTGGGAAGCTTTGCTGCCTCTTATAGTTTTGAAAGTTAAATAAGGTAGGGGATGTGGTGCTAGGATTCAGAATTGACTTGTAAATTACAATGTTCACTGATTGTGGTATGTGTTCCCTTAGACCCACTCCCCACCACTACTCTATATGATGATGCAATGGGTACATGCGTGTACTCCCTGAGTCCTAGGTACAGTGATAACAATGAGGAGTATAGAGAAAAATAGAATGAAATAAGATGGGCAAGAATTTTTTAAAAAGAAAGCTAAAGAAAAAAAAAAACACAGAACAATGAAAGTAGAAACCAATGGAAAAAACGATTGTGCACACACATACAGACATGCACACACACAGAGACATGCACACACACCCTAAAACAAACTAGAATAACAAGAAAGTGAAACAAAACAACAACAAAAACAAGAAACTCAACACACACAAACACGTCTAGCACAAAGTGAATGGAGAAGATAAATAGAAAGACCAGGGGAAAAAAAATGAATTCAGATTGAACCCTAACACATATATTAACACACACCTTAAACTAAAAAACAAAAGCAAAAATCCAGAAGAACAAAAGAGCAAAAACCAATGGCAACAACAAAATTGAAAGATGAACACTCAATCATTCATTCACATATACACATAAACAGAAAACAACAAACAAAAGAAGAAAGAAACAGAAAAAGAAAAGAAATAAAATGAAGGGGATGCACATCAAACCCTCACATACATATTCATGCACAAAGGAAAAATATTTTTAAAAATAGATGAACTAACAAACGGGCAAAAGAATTTTTTTTAATCAAAAGTTAAGAAAGAAAGAAAGCCTGCTCTCTTGTGGCAGGCTCTGTCGTTGCTTCTCTAGTTTGGTCTCTATACTGCAGTGCTTCCACCTCTTTCACTCTCTCCCCAGTGTCCAGAGCAGGGAAGGAGGAGGGGCAGTGTAGGTGGATGGGGTTCCAATCCTCCCCTCCCACTCTCATATGGGCAGGGATATCTCCTCCAGTCGGGAGATACAGGGTTGTTTTTTCCCCAGGTATGTACTTTTGGGGCGTACCCCTGCCAGGCGTAGTCTGGAATGGAGTTCTCCTATTGCAACTGATGTTCAGGCTACAGTTGACTTGTGCTTCTCGGTCATGGCCCAGCTGTGTGAGTCTGACATTCAGATGATTGCTGGAGGAGAGGGTTTGGGTCAGACCCAGGCTCGCCATTGATCTCTTTGGAGTTCTTCCTCATCCTTTTCTAACCACACCCTTTGTCCCGTGGCTGGATCAGGGTAGTGGGGTGGGGTGCCTGGAACTCAGCAATCGTCAGTTCCCTCTGAAATTTGTGCTTTCAGGATATTCCCTCTGGGTCACGATTCACCCCTGAGTAGTTGACCTGCCAGTCACAAAGATTGGGTCTGTTGCTCCATGGTGAGCAAGTCAGATCACTTTCCTGCCCCACCTTCAAGATGGTGAAGGGATGCCTCTCTCTTGTCCTCTCTGTCATGACTCTGCCTCTGGGGGGTCGCTCTGCAGCCCCTGCTGCCAGCGCCCGACCAGGTGTGTCAGGCAAAGTTTGGAGCTGGCAGTTTTCCTGCTACAGTGGTGAGGCAGAGACTGGGGCAATAGTCTCTCACTGCAGCTTCTTCACAGGAAAACTTGAATCTATTTAAAGAAAAAAATGGCGTTGGGCTTCTGTGACCTGGGAAGAGCCAGGGACCTAGCAGAGAAGCTGCAGCACCAGCTGTTGCACCAGGGCCCTGGCCACTTGCTCACGAGCCCTCACTTAGTCTCTCTCAACATTTTCTTTCCAGGAAGGATTTGTTGATTAAAAAAAAAAAAAAATGGCACTTGGTTTCTGCCTCCTGGGAATCGCTAGGGTCCAAGCCAAGCAACTGTGGCACCAGTCACTGCACCAGGAGAACCCTGGCTGCTAGCTCCCTAGCCCTCACTCAGTCAGCCACTCACATGCCCACTCACTACCAGTATTTACACAAAGTTTTCCATACACTCACTCCCACTGGGACTTGCATAATCTGACTGGTTTGGCTGCCATCTTCTCGACGACCTCCTCTAATTTTCTCAATGTGCTTGAAAGAACCTTCATAATCTGATAGTTGTTTACTTCAACTCTATACTATTCACCATCTCTTCTCTCTCCAACACACGCAAACACAGCACACACACACACACACACACACACACACACACACACACATTTTTCAATGAGTTCCATTCAGAGGTCAAATGTAGCTCTCTATTTTGAAAAATGATATATTTTTTCTTGTCTATAAAAGCATTTTTAAGAAATTGATAAAACTATACTATATCTGCTATAATGTTAAAAGAGGCTACTCATTTATTTTAAGTATCAAAAATAGATCATTGTATAAATAGTTGTAGACATAGATATATTCTTTTGTAAAGTGATATATTAAAGTCATTGCTGTATTTACCACCTTTATGCTTCCTTCTTTGGAATTATTCTTTTGCAATAGATGAGAACAATTTTGACAGGTTGCCCTACCAAAGAGAGGGAAGACCTAAAGATTTATTTCTTTGTATTGTTTCTACAGACCCTGGGGTATGATGAGGGGTTCACTACTGAAGTGGGGTTATTAGAGACACTTCTGAACTTTATTGGTTCCTCTTTACAAAACTATACATTGCTTTGGAATCTTGAGGACAGCTTAAATCCAAGCCAACTCACCTCTCAAATAAGGAGTTCCAAGACATAATTCTAAGGCAGAAGAAACTTTATGAACTACTTCCAATTCTGTTTTTAATTAATTAGTTTTCAAAAAATTTTAGATTCAAGAGGTACGTGTGCAAGTGTGTTACATAGTTATATTGTGCACTGGTTAGATTTGGGCTTCTATTAAGTCTACCCCCAGGTGGTCCTCAACGAGTGGTTTTTCAAACCTTTCTCTCTCCCTCCATCCTCCCTTTGGTAGCCCCCCAGTATATGTCATTCTTATCCTTATGTCAATGTGTGCCCAATGTTTAGCTCCTACTTATATATGAGAACATATTGTATTCAATTTTCTGTTTCTGTGATAATTCACTTGGAAAGAAGGCCCTTAGCTGCATCCATGTAGCTGCAAAGGAAATGATTTCATTCTTTTTTATGACTTCATAGTATTCCATGGTGTATATATACCAGATTTGCATTATCCAGTCCACTGTAGATGGGCATCTGGGTTGGTTCCATGTTTTTGCTATTGTGAATAGTGCCGCGATAAAAATATGAATGCAGGTGTCTTTTTGGAAGAATATTTTATGCTCCTTTGGCTATATACCAAGTAGTGGAATTGTTGGGTCAAATGGTAAACCTATATGATAATTTAAAGCAAATATATGAATAATTTAGGATGATTTACCAGTAACAAAGACAAAACTTTTCCGTTCCCCACCCCTAACACACACACTGATTTTAAAGGCATGTTTTGGTTTTAGAAACTAACTTTTACAAACTTTACACTTGAATTGTATTTTGCAAACTTTACACATTTTGCAAACTTTACACTTGAATTGTATCTACCTTGTTTTCAAACTGAATGTGCTAATTCTGGAAAGTAATATTAAAAACAAACTGATAAGTTTTTTTTTTTTTTTTAAACAAAAAAGAGAAATTGATGACTGCTTTTAACTTTCTGATTACTTTGATTTTTTTTCGCTTCATTCATTTTTTATTTATTTTTATTTTTAAAATTTTATTTATTTATTTATTTATTTATTATAATGATGTGGGGTACAATTCAGGGTTAGGTATACAAACATTGATCTTGCAGGTACCCTTGCTGATGAGGTATGCCCCTCCCTCCCCTAGCAGTTTCCCTCAACGGCCTATCCCACCCCCCTCTCCCCTGGCAGTTTCCCACTGCTGCCAATTACTTTTTTATAGCATTATAATTGTTCAAGGTCATCTTATGAGTGAGAACATATGGAACTCAGTTCTTTGTTTCTGTGATAAATCACTGAGTATGATTGACTCCAAATCCATCCTGGTTGCTGCAAAGTCAATATTTGTTGTTCTTTATGGCTGCATAATATTCCATTGTGTATATGTACCACTTTTTTTTTATCCAGTCTAGCTTCGATGGGCAACAAAAAATAAGGAACACTTTACAAATTTGCGTGTAATCCTTGTGCAGGGGCCGTGTTAATCTTCTCTGTATCATTCCAATTTTAGTATATGTGCTGCCAGAGCAAGCATACTTTGATTTTTTTTTTAAGTTTAGGACTTACATTGTAAACTGAATGAAATTGAAATTTTGTAGTTGATTTCAGAGTTTTTTCAAATACTTTGTTTCAAATAGCCTAGGGGTATAAAAATATGTAATACATTATAGTAAATATTCTACTCTTCATTGAAACTTAAGTCAGGTTTATCTTAGCAATTATCCTTTAAAATATTTTTTGTATTCTATGAATAAAACTCTCATTTAAAAATTTTGCTCACATGTAGGGTAGAGAAGATTTCTTGAAAAGACTCATTCGGGGTGAAGTGATTACTGGAATGATAATTCAGGTAATACAGATTTGGTTTCAATATTTTATTCTTCATTTAATTTGCATTTTACTTAGCATTTTAAATTTGCTTGTAATGAGGCATCTTGTCACTACTTGGTTTGCAAGCCAGCAGTTTCTCTCCTTAGCTGATGACAGTTGCCCTCTGTGTACAACTAGCAGTGTCTGATCATGCATAAAGAAACTGACCTCCCATACACATATCTCATTTTGTGGCTTAATGGGAATTTCTGCCAGTCTAGTAAAAGGGCAGTGGGATCTTATTTCTAAGTGTCTAACTCTGTAGTCTGCTTTGTGATGATGTTGTGTTTTCTTTACTTTTAATGTCTTTCACTTAGGTTTCTTTATTTAACCCTGGAAGAAAAAAAAAGCTATGATATTTCCATACAGATATTTTAAAATTAAAGCATGTAAACTAACATCACCTTTAAATTTTTAATCTTTATCTGTCACCCACATATCCTTTGGGACCTAGGTTGGGTTTTTTGATCCATGACATATTTCTAGAATGTCTTTCCTTTAGAAATAAAATATATTTGGAATTATCATTATTAGCATAAGAAAAATAAAATCAAGAAGCAAAACAGTTTGAGATAGTGTTATTTGATGTTATCTATATACTCGGTTCTCTCTGAAGCAAACACATATTTTTTTATTTCTTCTGTTAGGAAATTTGACATTTTCAAACATAGCCGTGTTTCTTTGTTTCTATATATATATATATATATATATATATATATATATATATATATATATGAAAACACCAAAATCTTAATTTATTTCTGGGCATATATGCTTTTTAATTTCATAGTATTTTCAGTCTGTTTTATTAATATTTTGTTTTTAGCTTCCTGTTCATTAGTTTATCTGGTCTTAGATTGTAGGACTTAATGTGTATTCCTAGATTGTTAGTGTGTTTTCTGACTTAGCGTTTTCCAATACTTACTAAGAATGTCTGATTTTTATTCTGTTCAAATATTCTCATTTCTTCTAATAATAACTATGTGCTCTTTAAATATACATTTGTACCCATTGTTTTTTTATGGTAGCATTTGCTATTTGATTTTCAAATGACAACAAAGATTACTGTGTGGCGCTGAATAGAGGCTCAGTAAATGTTTAAGTAATTAATAACTGAATGAGTTATTTAAAATCTTTGCTGGCAGAAAAGACTATATAGCATTCATGAAGTCCAGATCCAGGAGAGGCAGGAGCTTTTGAAAAGGAAAGCAATATATGCCATAACACTGTCAGAAATACAAGAACCTCTGCTTCAACTAGAAGAAGATGCTGAAAGAATCAGAGCTATCCACAAAGAACACTCTGATGTAAGCATGTAATTAATCTAGAATATTAATTAAATGTTTAGGAATATTTAGGTTGACAAATTATGCATGTCATTTTACATTATTATTTGGAAAATTATGATTTCACATAGAAAAAGCATGGACAAAACTAAGTAACAATTTGAGGACCACACAATTGCTTTACAGTGAGCTGTGTAGCAAGACAATTAATGCTAATGTGTAGGACTCCGTAGTCTATCTTAGCGTGTACTTGGGAAAAGCAGTTTTTAAAAAGGGTGAGTAGTGACTTCTCTGGTTAGATTGCCCACTGTGCTAAACTTAATTCAAAGTCTTCACTTCCTCTTAATAAAATACTGAGGTTATGTGTACTTGAATACAAAGTATAAAGGCATCTTGACGTTTTCATGGTAAATTTTGGATGCATTTAGGCAGCTACCGTGAAAAAGCAAATGCTGATAAAATATTTTCAAAACTACATGTTTATGGCAGTAACTGATATTATTTATCCTTCCCCCCAAAAACATCAGTAGAAAAACATGTATTCATCCTGTCATTACTCTTCTGGAGAACTAGAGGGTGTGGCAAGAGATATACATTCTTGTCCTTCCCTGCAGGAAGGAAGTACATGTATTTATTTGAGTCATTTTGGCTACAATTTTTTTCCTTTGCAAATGATATTGCCACTTTATATTCTTAGCATCAAATGATTCTTAAAATGTCTTCATTTTGAAAATAGTTATTTATAAAATATTTCTATTATAAAGGTTTATGTTGAGCTTCAAAACCTCCCTGTGAGATATGTAAGAGGGAGTTTGCTTGTATCAAAGGATAGAGAAAACTTGAGCTTAAATGCATGGGCATCTAGGACAAGATCGTGACGATGGAGTCTACAAATTCTGAGTAGCACTCCCTTTAGAGCTATTGTAATGCTTATGTAATGAATGTATACCCAGTCCAAACACCTAACATTGGGATAAATGATTTTGATAATGGTTCCCTGTTACATTAATGTGGGACGTTTGTTAATTGCATCGAAAAAACCTTGTAATTATCTGAGTATGATAATGAATTTGAGAAAAGATCAATGAAATCTTTGCCCCTTATTTTTTAACAGCCACGGTTTTATATCTTCTTGTAGTTCATAATCATTTTTGCTTTTATTATATTTCAATGGTGAATGAATTATAAGAACTAGTAGTTTAGCACAAACTCTAGAAAAGAATACATTTCTTTACACTGTTTGGTAATGATTGCTAACAATTTGTATTTGGAGTTATTAATTTTGGTTGATTTTCTTTTTTTTTTTGAGTTGGAGTCTCACTCTGTCACCCAGACTGGAGTGCAGTGGGCTCCAGCAATCTTTCCACCTCAGCCTTCCAAGTAGCTGGAACTACAGGTGCACGCTACCACGCCCAGCTAATTTTTGATTTATTGAAGAGATGAGGTCTCGCCAAGTTGCCCAGGTGGGTTTCGAACCCACGGGCTCAGGCAATCCACTCACCCCAGCCTCCCAAGGCGCTGGGATTACAGACTGAGCCATCGAGCCTGGCTTGATTGAAATATTTTAAAGATTATGAGGAAATTGCATAATTTATATGTAAGCTTATTAGTTTTTCTTATTTAACTAAAATTCATTAGATTTAGATATTCTTGGGTAATACATGTAGGGACTTTTGAATATCTTAGTATGCATCTGTAATTCATATGTGGTAGTTCTTTCCCTTTATTTACCAAAATAAATACTGTTATTATTAAAATACTCACTTAGGTACTATTTGGTCTAAACAAGAATATCTGGCTGCAAATGCTGCACATCTTAATATCTGAATATCTTCTAGGCACTTAATAGTATACTTGAGAAGAAAGATCATATTAGAAGAAATGTGCAAAAAACAAAGAAAAAATTGAGAAAAAGGGAAAGGAAAACCCGTGTTGCACTAACAGAAACTGAGGTGAGAGACTTAATTTCAAAATATAATTTTACATTTATAATTTCTTTGTCAATGAAAACTATTTAGCAAGTTTAATTTGGCGTAGATGCACCTCATTTCTAATTGGTTGCTGTAAATTGACTCTGTGTGCACAATAGCACACACTCCCACATGCACACACATTCCCTGTGTCTTCATTTACATTCTCTTACAGTATCTTTCCTACTGGTCTAGTCTATAAAGGCCATTGTCCTTAACCAGGATAAATGCAAGGGAAAATGGATATTGGATTCAAACAGACGTATACTGCTTTCTGTAATTGCCATGCTGGCTTCTATTGCTTGAAGTTTTAAGGAAGAAATGAAGAAAAAGAAAAGAAAGAAAAAAGGGAAAAGGAAAAGAACGAAAGAAGAAAAGACAGGAAGAAGGATATTGCTATAGTCTGAATGTTTGTGTTCCCCCAAATTCATATGTGGAAGCATAGCCTCCGATAGAGTAGTATTAAGAGACAGAGCCTTTGGGAAGTGTTTAGGTTATGAGGGCTCAACTGGATTAGTGTCACTAAGTCACCCTCTTTGAAACAGAGAGTGAGCCCTCATCAGACACCAAATCTGTTGGTGGCTAGTTCTTGAACTTCCTGACCTCTGAAACTATAAGAAATAAATTTCTGCTGCTTATAAAGTACCCATTCTAAGGTATTTTGTTATAACAACCTGAAAAATCTAGGACAGGGGAAAAAGGAAGGAAGAAAGGAAGAACAGAGGATGGAAGAAGAGGAAAGGAAAGAAAAGAGGGAAGGGAGAAGAAAAGGAGAAAAGTTTAAACTTTTGCTATACAAAGTAGCATGATTACACTTTTCTTTAATGAATGGAATCTTTTATTGACATATATCTACTGTCATAACTCCGAATCACCAATATGACATTCTGAAACTATAAAATATCATGTTTAATATAAATATGCTCATTAATTAGCAAGGATTTTTATCAAGCAAAGTACTTTTAACCATTAATGTAGTATAACTATTTTAATATTTATACTTATCATATAATTGGCTGTAAAAGTTAGTGTTCAGAAAAGACAAAACAATTTCAAAACTTTTACATAATTATCTACATTTTAAAACAACTACTACTAAGATTTTGTTCTTAGAAAGCATATTTACTTAGCCAAGGAAAGTCAACTTTTTAAATTTATCTTGCTACTGGCATTGTATGCAAAGTCTTTAGTTTGTCAGTTTAAAGAAAGAATTGACTCTACATGGTAAATTGATACTCTATTTTGCTAGGGAAAACAGCTTCACTGTCTTTTCTTTTGGTGAAGATAGTGTGAAACATAAGGTTTCTAAATTATGTAATACCGATTGGTGCCACAGCTCACAGAAAAGATATCTCGATAAGAAGTACAGTTTATGAGCCAAAAGTCATTTTTAAAGCGTTGTATTTTATTTCCATTTCATAAAGTACATTGTGATTTGAACTATAATTGTGTCCCCATCACCCCCAAGCAACACTTCTTATATAACCCTCTTTCCCCTTCCCCTCAATGTTCACTGTAGGCACTAAGTGCTTCTCATCAATTTCCTGAAAAAGTCACTCTTACTATTAGGCTTCTATTCATCTATCTCTTTCCCATTTTTTCCCAGCTGTGCAGCAAGAGTACTTTAAAATAGGAACTGGGCAAAGACAAAATCACTTTTTTTAAAAATGGAGATGTCGGTTGAATTCCAACTTAACTGGCAGAGTCAACATCCTTTTTTAGTCAATAGAAGGTGAAGAAAGTCCAAGAGCACTAGCATTCTAACATTAATGCTGTTGTCTTGCACACGAACCTAATGCCCACTACAATGTATTAGGCTGTAGATTCACCATATCTCCAGATAAAGGAGAATGTAGCTTCTCTGAGGAAGTTGACTCACAGTGTAGGAGGCTAAGGATAGGGAGGAGACTTTACCCCTTCTAAGAAAGATGAAGTAGCTGAATTCCAGGGCCTCCATGGGCTATATTTGGTGCAGATGGCATAACAAGAAACAGTTCTGTCCCTGTCTGATAGTCAAGGCTTGATGGGTTTCCCTGAATAGGAAGAGCCTTACATTGGTCCAAGCAGACTTAGAGTATACTTGGTAGAGGCCCTTCTAAGAAAGAATGTACATTAGAGTTTGGGAATTAGGAGTCATAAGTGGAAGATATAGCTATTTACAGCAGTGAAAAATGACTAGGTCAATTCAGATCAGAAAAGAAGAGCATTTTCCCACTATGTGTGTTGTCTTCAGGAAGTGAGGTGGGTCATTTTCTTCTTCATTATTAACATCATTTACTGATGTTGGTTTTGATGTGCTGACAAAGGCTGAACACATAGCTCAAATGATTTCACCGAATTCTTAGAGTAACTCTGTGAAGTACTTATATTCCATTCATACAAAACAAAAGTTGAGGATTAGAGAGGTTTATTCATTTTCCATGTATCAAGAATTTCCTTCTAGCCAACCTCAAAACTCACTCATGCCTTTACTTACTATGTTTACAAAAATCTCTTGTAAATTCCTTCATCGCCAGTGACTAAAGGGCATCAGCCAGTTTTGATATAGAGAAAACAGCCCAAGCTTTGGATTTAGAGAAATCTAGTGTTTGATCAGTCTTCACCAATTAAACTAACTATCATCTTGGGCTAGTTATTTAACCTCTCCTGATCTTCTATTACAAAATGAATATAACATTACTTGCATTGTTATTGTGAGTCATGAAAAGCATAACTCAAATACAATGCATAATACAATCATTGGTGAATTGGAACACTCATGGATTGCTCACACCCACCCCCATAACCTTTTCTACAAAGTAAAGATTAAAATTTGCAGTGTACGAGATAGTACCATGTTTCTACAGATGATGACATAAGTTTTTACTGCAATAAACCCTCATTTAAACCACAGGTATAGAATCTGAACTTATTATATTTTTGTAACATAGAATATACTTATTAAATCTTCAATAAAAGTAAAGATATAATCTGAACTAAATATTTTAGAATCCAAATATAATTTACTTTACCTGGTATTTCAAATATAACCATTTTAGAATTTTTTGAAATAAAAAATTGAAACATTTTTATAGTAGAATATTAATTTCCCGCAATTCAGATTTCTAGACCCTTCCATGCCTGGCCAGTAAAGTAGATTTGGGTGAAAAGTCTCCAAATTGCTTTCATCCAGGCTAGAGAAGCAAAAAGGAATGGCAAAGAATGATCAAACTGTAAATGCACTGTTTGTATGGCTATAAACTTACTTGCTGTGTTGCTATGTCGGCACTCATTAAAAGACTGACCGATAACTCTGGTGTCCCCAGGTTTTTCTCATTCAAACTATGCAGATTTGCACTCTTGACTGACATGCAGCATCTCTCAGTTTCTTCTCTCCAGATCCAGCCCACTATGGGAACATTTCTAATATTTTTGGTGTTATGGATGGGGACATGCTGACATGTTTACTAACACCTCACTGATGAAACCTAATAAAGGTGCCCAAATACAATGTTTGCCTTAACTGATGTCTGTAGAAGTACATTGACTCTTTCATCTCTTTATTGTAGAATGCTCTGATGCCAGTGTCAGCATTGCAGAGCTGACTGGTATGGGCTAATTGTTGATGTCATTACTTCTGAAATTATCTTTTTTTAATGTATTCTGTTTTAAAGATGTAGGGTACAATTCAGGATTAGGTATACAAGTGGACATTGTACAGGTAAAGTTTGGGATTCTCTTTGATCACCACCTTGCCTCGTTTGAAATCAGGTATCCTTATTGATGTTGTGTCCCCCCCTCCCCCACAACCCAACCCAGCAGTATCCCACTAGTGCCAATCCCTTTCTTATAGTATTATGGCAAATGCTTAGGGTCCACTTATGAGTGAGAACATGTGGTACTTTGTTCTTTGTTTCTGTGATAAGATCACTGAGTATTATTGACCCTAAATCCATCCAAGTTGCTGAGAAGTCCATATGTTTGTCCTTCTTTATGGCTGTCTAATATTCCATTGTATATGTGGACCACATTTTTTTTTTTTTATCCAGTCCAGTTTCAATGGACAGCATGATTGGTTTCATGTTTTTGCTATTGTGAATAGTGCTGCAATAAACATGCATGAGGCCAGGCTCAGTGGCTCAGTCTGTAATCCCAGCCCTTTGGGAGGCTGAGATGAGTGGATTGCCTGAGCCCCGGGTTCGAAACCCACCTGGGCCAGCTGGCAAGACCTCATCTCTACAATAAATCAAAAATCAGCCGGGCATGGTAGTGCTCGCCTGTACTTCTGGCTACTTGGAAGGCTAGGGCAGAAGGATCGCCAGAGCCCAGCAAGTCAGTCAAGGCTGCGGTGGCCGGGAGCATGCCACTGCACTCCAGTCGGGGTGATGGAGAGAGACTCCAACTCAAAAAAATAAATAATAAAAAATAAAAATAAACATGCATGTGTAAGTATCTTTTTGTAGAATGCTCTGAGTTCCTCCTGGTATATTCCCAGTAGGGGGAGTGCTGGGTCACATGGAAGGTCAATTTCTAGTTCTTTTAGAAATCGCCACACTGTTTTCCATAGAGGTTGAACTAGCTTGCATTCCTACCAGCAGTATAGAAGCATTCAATTTCGTCACATCCTTGCTGTTTGTTGCATTGTTGTTGTTTGTTGTATTAATGATGGCCGTTCCTACTGGGGTTAGGTGGTGACTCAATGTGGTTGTGATTTGCATTTTTCTGGTGATTAGTGAGGCTGAGCACTTTTTCACATGTCTGCTGGCTGTCTGTATATCTTCTTTTGAGAAGTGTCTATTCATGTCTTTTGCCCACTTTTTAATGGGGTTATTTTTTTTTTCCTTTTAGCACGTTTGAGTTCCTTGTAGATCTTGGATGTTAGGCCTTTGTCCAATATACAGTTGACAAATATTTTTTTCCCATTCTGTGGTCTGTCTCCCCGCTCTCTTGATTGTTTCTTTTGCTTAGCAGAAACTTTTCAGTTTAATGAGGTCCTACTTGTC